GTTCATGGGGTCACGAAGAGTCGGACACGACTTAACAACTAAACAACAACAACAACAATCTGAAGTATAAAAATCCAGACAACAAAAAAATGTTAACAAAGACAGTTTTCTGTATTTCAAAAGTAAAGTATATTTTTAAATTAAAATGAACAATTAAACATGTATCTATCAGTTCAATTCAGAAAAGTATCTTCCATGTATGTTTTATAGGAGAAAAATAATCCTTTATGGATGCTGATGATGCCATAAAGCATCACTAGAGGGTGTTAGATAGTTAATTCTTTTTCCAGCTATGCCTGTTTTCCTACAAATTGTAGCGATACCCATACTATATATTTTTATGACTGTCAGCTAGAACTAAGCAGCAGTAATTTTCTGTACTTAAACCTTTTCTTGATAATACATCGAATTTTGCATAGTTCTTCTAATGCTTAGCAATAGTATATACTTTCTTAATTTATTGATAGAACAATAAGTGCATTCTCTTAATGAAGGTACATAATTTCCATTTCTGAACTATATCATTCTTCTGTGTATCATAACCTTCCCTTCCCTTCCCTTCCCTTCCCTTCCCTTCCCTTCCCTTCCCTTCCCTTCCCTTCCCTTCCCTTCCCTTCCCTTCCCTTAATGGCAAACTTGAAAAGACAAGTTGTTGGCCATAACTGTAGGAGCTTATAAAGTCTGATTTTTTAAGGTTAATTTTATTCAGCCAAGTGCCTCCACTTACATATTGGACTAAATTCCATCACTGTCAGCTAATAGATCCATTAGTGATCATTGTTTGGGAAATAAAGGTTACAGCCCATCCAGAAGGATAGGAATGCTGGGTTATATGAAATCCTCAGTCTAGCACATAGTTAGCATGGAAAGAGATCCAGGAACTGAAGTTGGGTGATTTAATGACGTACCAAGAAAGGCTCTTACCTGTAAAGTACTGATGTGCACGGGGGTGCCTGTGCCATTCACAGTATTCTTTTTAGCTGCATTTCCACCTTTCCCTTCTGCTTGCTCTGCCTTAGCAATCTTTGCTTTTTCAGCTTCAATTCGCTTCGGATTGTTCAGCATGACTTGGACTACTGCATACTCAACCAATGAAGCAAATCCAAAGAGAAGGCATGCAATCAGCCATACATCTAAGGCCTTCACATAAGACACTTTGGGGAGTTCAGCAGCAAGGGTAGTACATTCTGATGCCAAGCTGAGCACTGAAAAGATGCCTAAGCGGAATAAAAATCCAACAATATACTATGTAATTAAAACGTTCTTGCACCGCTAACCATTTTCTACTTTGCTAGCCCTAAAATGTTTCTGCTGCCACCTTCTAAATGATGATATTTCCTCAAAGGAAATAGAAGTTGTTGATGTACCACATGTTTTGCAGAGATGAATATGGATGTATAGGGTGAGTTATGGAATTGATTAAATAAATTAATACATAATCATTCTGAGTACATACATAGCACTAACATCTGGAAATGGTTTCTCTTGTTGCTAGCAGCTCTATATATCATGACACATATCTGTTGTTTTGCTGATGTAACTTTTCCTTACCATGAATTTGCAAACTGTCAGTCAAATGGAATTCTAGATGTCATAAAAATATGGAGTAATATGGCAACTGAGTGTCAGACAGGTATCCAAATTACCGTGCTGGGAATGCAGCAATCAATTTGGACTACTGATTTTATACAACATACAAAAATCTAAAGAGTTTATTTTTATTTGGCTATCTTTGAAATTATGTATTCTATTTAACAAATTCCCCTCTTTCACAGTAAAGTGCCAAGAATATTGTTTTTTGAAAATCTGCCTTCTACAGTAGCCTTCCCTGCCCTAGCATCATCACCATTTCTTGGGACAGACTGGGTAGAATTTCTGCAAGCTGCAGCCCAACCTATCTGAAGAACACGAAAATGCTGCTGGTTTCCATTTATCATCTTCAATTTAGGGTGAAAAGTTCAATCTCACAGTGACAGAAAGAATCAGACCGGGCAATATATCCTAAGTGGAGAGGTTGAAGCAGTAGCAGCTTTGCTCTGAGATAAAATATAGTAGTATCAGAAAAAGCCAAAACATGTATGCTGCTGATCATGTTGGATTTGATTTTCTTTCTGAGAAAAGAATTAGCTAAATTGAAAATAGCAGACTGCAAAGAGGGCCCACGTAGAAATAGGATTAGTTCTGGTTCTCATGTATAAAAACTAAACCCACTAAACTTACTTCTCTGGAATACTGTTCCAAAACCCTATGGACTGATCAAGAAATGTTGAAGTCTCTTTTCAGCAGAAGATGCATTGTGTAATTTCTTTCTTTTGGAGGGTCATTTACCTTACATTTCTATTGGAAGCTTCATAGCTGCCACAAGAAACTAATGCAATTCCCGGTGTTCTACTACCTAGATTTTATATTAAGGACCACTGACAGTGCCACTATCATGTAGCTGCCAGTGATCTAGAGCCATAACATAATTCATCATGGATACTTGCCCATGGATATTTTCCCCATAATCACTAAATAAAATAATAATATTGGGAGCTGAGAATGAAGTGGCCATTATTTTCATGTCCTCCTGCATTTCACCACTGTCCCAGAGAGTCAGCAGTGCTCTGATTTACCTCCAGCTATCTGATAAGTGGAACCAAGCATTGCTTAGAAGAGCTCATAGGACAACTTGCTGTCCCCAAGATCATCTCTAGCTAGTGTTATGTCTGTTTTCTAATGCATAATTAGAGAAAATAAAAATGGGGAAAAGTTTTTTTGTAAGATTCCTGAAACACTATATCGTTCTATTCAATATTATAGCATTTCAACAACCCATAAATATATAAAACCAAATGTTGTAGAAATAACCTATTTTTTTCATGGTTCTTTAGATATCAATAATCCATTATTCCAATCCCAGCCAAAACTGATATCCCTTCCAATTTTCTACTCACTGTTGTACTCATATACGTCCCTGGTGATATAATGAGCAGATACAGGAACAATCTGCTTAAAGGCTAGAGATCTTGTCTTTTAAAAAGTGGAGGCAACATATATGGAACTGAAAAAGAGAAGATTGGGATGACAGTGAAGAGCATGCTATGAGAACACAGTTGCTTTCAGTATCCATGATATATCTTGCTACTGAGGCAACTGCAAATGGACATGTGACATTAAGTGGTCCTGACAATAGCAGAAAACATAGATTACCCAATGGCACTCTTGCAGCACTTGCATCAGGATTGATCCAGAATGATAGCCATGAAAGTACAACAATTAGCAGTGTAGGAGCATAGACACCCATCATGTAAAAGCCAACTTGTCTTCTCAGAGTAAAGATCACTTCTACACATGTGTAATAGCCTTTGGAAAAAATAACAGTACAAAACTATAAATACTTTAGCAGGTCCCACTGAATTCAGCTGGGTTTACTAATGCATGTCACTAAAAATTCATGTTCTACCTTAACTAAGTTTTCCATTTTAATGAGTTTATCCTAATTAAAACTACTATTGGAAAAAAAGGTACTGGTAGCCCAGACTGCAGCCACCCAACATTTAACTGAAAGTGAGAATAACAGTGTGACCTCAGTTTATCTCAATGCACTTTGGAGGTGCATTGCAAATAAGAGCAACAGAAACTCCTTCAACTTACCCTTTTGATATCCCAGTGTACACTTTGGTTCTATTCTAAAAGGTTAATGCCTGATTGGCTAGAGATACTGCTTTGACAGAAATTAGTGCACTGCAAATACAATTTTTTTGCATTGGGCACCAGCAACAGAAGCCTTGCCAGCTAGTTAATCTTCAGGAAGAAAGAAGAATGCTTCCACTACTATAACAGTAAAATTGAAAGGGGAAAAAGGATAATGGCAGCAGGGAGTGAGTGAGTGAAATTTCTCTACTCTCCAACAATAATCGAAAACAGAGAGGAGGAATGAAACTTAGCAGTGACCGTAGTTGAGCCAACGTTTCTTAAAATACATCTTTCGGGGGAAAAAATCACCAATACAAAATATATAATTAGGTTTCTTTCTCAACCCACCAGATATAATTGCAGTATCTCTCCCTTTGTGTGTGTTTGTGTGTTAGTGCATGTGTGTGTCTTCCTACTGTCTACTCCAATAGAGTACGTTATCTTCTGAAATAACGAAGATACAAAATGGTGACCAGTTGTGGAGTACAGAGTATGTTAGGGGAAAAAAAAAAGGTATACTATTGTTATGAACAGTTGAATTGTTGTGGAATATAATTCCTGTTTTGCATAAAGTTGTTGAGTATCTCCTTGTACCAAATGTTTGAGACCTGTAGGGTAGAGATCCCAGACCTCCTTTCCAAAGAGTGCTCTAGGTCTTCACAACCTGGTCCTGCTTCCTGCTTTTCAGTAGCAGCTTAGTAGTTCTAGCTGCCACCACCCATCCTCCATGTCACCATCTTCCAAATGTAATGTTTTTTTCCCCAGACTAATAAAGATTTAAAATAAAATAAAAATATTGGAAAATGCCACCAAAGAAAAAATAAAGGTGGGAGTGGAATTAAATATAATCACATCCTGGTTCTATGATATTCCTTTCTTTTATGATTCTGAGCCAGTGAAATGCTTTCTTTGCCAACTGTAAACAGTTTCAATGGAATGTCAAATTCCTATTTTATTTTTCAGACTATATCTATATATGTGATTATCTGTTTGTGTTAGATCAGAAATTCTTCTACAAGCTTTTTTTTCAAAAAAAAAATCACATTCCTATATGCCAATATGAATAGTATAAATGTTTTCTTATATAAAGGCAGTTTGATGTAATAATAATAATTCTTCCAAATTATTTACAAAAAAAGAAAGCCAACCCTCATACACAAAATGTCATCCCCAATTTTCAACAACTGTGTAGTCTTTGGCCACCTTCTTGTTCACTCACAGACGTATCTTTAAGAGATGTAGGCATTCTCAAGATTTACGGAAGAATACTAAGACAAGAAGAACTATGAAAGGATCTACCCATATATTTAAAGTATCATATACATTTGGTCAGATTGAGCTCAGAAGCTAAGCAGATTTGAACCTTGTTCGTACTGAGTGGAAGATCGCAAGCAACACCAGGCTATAGGTTAGATGATGAAGTTGAAACAACATTTAAATAGTCACCTCAGACAATAAAAATACAAAATGGAGGCCAGGCTGCCAACATAGTTGTGTGAGGAAGAGGGACATAAGGAAAAAAAAACAAAAACAAAGTGCACTGTTCCCATGAATTATGAGCTCACACCACAAAACAGTTGATAAATATCTATTGTTCTTCCATTAAATTGGCTCTGAGCTCAAAACTACAGAATTTGATGTGGTTAAGATTTGGATAAAAGATCTCTAGCCAAATCAGGTGGTTAAAAATAAATCCCAGGAAAAGGCAGTAGCAAACTACTTCTATACTGTTGCCAATAAAACTAAATGGACATGCCCATGAGGTCACCAGGAATCAAACTTGACTCAAAAGGACTTTATATTTTACACATTTTAAATTATCAATATATGCCCTGCATCTCAGGTTTTGCAGCATTAAATTTGTTTTACAATTTAATTAAGCTAAAATACATAGCTGTTAAATCCACAATGATACAAAGTGAGCTGATTTGGCTGAAGGATCTTAGCAAACAACAATTTTATATAATTGGTTTCAAGAAATTATAAGACAGCTAAATAAAAACATATCTGTGTCATTTATGATTATGAACAATTGATTTTACTTGCATTATGTGCTGTTATAAATCTTCATAACCAAAATTATTTTCCCATAAAAAATTAGCAATTTAATCATTTCTTCATCTTGCTGCTATGCACTAGAGGCTGAAGCCATGAACTGAATTATGATTAATGAATTAATGAGTGATTGTGAAATCATCACACTTCTGTGATAAACATATCCTTCCATATTGACTATGATGGCAACTTATATGCCTCATGAGTCTGGAGTGGTATTAACTATCAAGATCAATTAGTGCAGAACATCACAAAGCATTATTTACAGCTTTCTAATAATTTCTTATTTAAAACAGATACTACAAATCAGATTTCCTGATTTAATGCAAAAGTAACAATAGAGAGAATGTATTCATTTACCTAATAAGCTCTTACTTTCATGAAATAAAGGCTGATCACATAATGTAATAAATGGACAAATGAATTAATTAAAATATATACCAGTCCCTTTGTAGTATTTGGTACAGTTGCCATATTCAATATCTTCTTTCTTAATATCAAATTGGGGCAAAGCAATTTTCTCCAGTTGAACAGGATCACCAGATTGCCAGATAAATCGTAAATCATCAGTAGTGTAACCAACTACATGTTTTGGATAGGAAAAAAAAAGAAGAAGAAGATAACGTGGTAGAAAGTAATAAATGCAACAATTATATATAGGCATGCTTTTCTTATACCACATCTCAGAATCTGGCAGGTTAAAGGGTGTTCGTTATACTGATCATATCTCACTAGTACTGAAATGCATTCACTGATTTTCATTGTTTCCACATACAGTTCTGGAAAGTGCTAAGTGTTAGGAACCTGGAAGTAGATTATCTGAAAGAGTATCAGTTTTAGGTCCACATGCCAAAACAATACATTTCTAATTTGAAAGGTGTTCCTGATATTTCCATTAGATTTTATTTCTTTATTGGACAGATTTTCTCTACTATGGGATACTACTTTTGAAATTTTCTGCCAGAACTGGCACTGGATTTCACATGGGTTGGTGTGTTGCCACCAGTAGGACTTTTTCTTATAAGTCTCTCCCTGCCAGTACTGTTGTCAGTCAGATCCCTTGCTCATTAAAACCTAATTAGAACTTGTGTCTTGGAGTAACTGGCATGGTGGCTGCCCATCCACCCCTCCATGCTAAGATTAGTAGCCTTTTTACTAATAATAGGCCCTTTGACTGAGGTAAATACAAGAAAGAGAGAAGGAAAAGGAGTGATGACTGAGAAGTACAAGTAGCAAACCACTCTTGCAACTGTGGCTTTGATAGCCTTGGATCTAAGAAAGGTGACTAAGGAGATAAGCAATATGTGGAGTTGGCAAGATCAGATACCTCCCCTAAGGCCTTTGCTACTGACTTCCTCAAATTATCCATTAAATATTTTTGTGGATTACAAACATTTTATTTAGCAGTTGTTTTTGTTCTTTGTTCTAATTATCTGTATTTGCATTTTCTGAATTATTTAGCTATTTCCTAGTAATTGTTTTATTTAAGTTGTATTCAACATTTTTAAAAATTAAAAGGAAAATATGTTTATTCAAAGTAAATAATACTGTCTATGAAAAATTCAGGATTCAGACCAGTGTTGATAAAATATATTGCATACCTTGTTTACGATTTACATTACTGCTATCATATGAAGGTTTTTATTCAAATACAAATCAAACATAAATCCTACAGAATGTAGGATTTAATGTAGATTACACCCAGGTTCGTGTGTACAGAAGTGCAGGCTTGCTAAATATATTTGTGTGTGTGTATTCAAAGTTACGATGGCACTGAACAAATGGTGGTTATGACTAGTCCTCAGTCTTCTGGCTGTCCCAGCACCCCTGTGTCACATGATCGCGATCTGGGCTCTTGGCAACTGGCAACTGGCCTGCACTCACAACCTGTTGCAGCACCCCACGATCATCTGATCATCATTTACAACCTTCCCTGCTGGCTTCCCCAGAAAGTCAATGGGGAAGCTGTCAGGGAGGGTCACAAGTCACTGGGGTAAGTCTCCTCTGCCCACGCACCCTCCCCCAGCCCCCCAGTTTGTGCCCTGCCAGCCACTCACGCATTCCTGTGCACCCCCCCTGAGCCTTGCTGCACCTCCCTTGCACCCTTGTGCACCCCTGTGCATTCCCTCACTGTGCTTCCCTCATACCCTCTAATGCCCTCCCCCACTTACCTGCCTACCAGCCTGCTTGCAAGCCACCTGGGACTTGCAACTTCCTGACCCTTTCCCCACTGACTTGGTTGTGGGAAGCTAGCAGGAAGTTGCTTCACCTAAGGACTATGGGATTTGGTTAATGATGGCAACTGGGACTGCAGGGATTGCTGTCACTAAGCGATGTGGTCACCCTTTACGACCGCATCACTTAGCAAAGGAAATTAGGTCAGGGAAGGTGTGTGAGGTTGTGAGGGGTGCACAAGAGGTGTGTCGAGGGTTGGAGAGGTATGTGAGGGTGCAGCGCAGGTTAGAAAGGATGCACGAGGATGTGGCATGGGGAGGGTGCAAAAGGTGCACTGTGAGTTGGGGGGAATGTGCAGAGCTGCACGGGGATGCACAAGTGCCCAGTGTGGCGCAAATGTAGAAGGGCTGAGGAAAAGTGTGCAGGTAGGAAAGACTTACCCCAGTGACTTGTGACCTTCCTGCTGGCTTCCCCATTGACTTTCTGGGGAAGCTGGCAAGGAAGTTGCAAATGGTGATCATGTGATCATGGGGTGCTGCAACTTGTAGTAAGTGTGAACCAGTTGCCAAGCACCCAGATCGCAATCACGTGACTGCGGGGGTGTTGGGATGGCTGGAACTCTGAGGACCAGTCGTAACAACCATTCCTTCAGCACCGTCACAACTTCAAGTGGTTGCTGAACAAATGATGTAGGTCAAGGACTACCTGTACAGAAATATGGCAAGCAACAGAAGAAGGATCAGTAAA